GTAAATTGAAGGTAAGTTATATATCATTTAAAATATTATTTTGTTATTTATAATTCATATAGCATTTATTCTGATTGGTTTTTGATATTTTGTTAGATTAAAATTTAAAAGCTTTTAGTAAAATTAATGTATTACTTTTACTTTTATATTTAAAGGATTATCCTTATTACTTTCATTATATTCATCATGAAGATAAAAAGCCAGATATATTAAGTTATATAGATGTTCTTTTAATGATAATTATGATAGTAAGTCAAGTTTTTTCAAATGCTGTTTTTTCAAAATAATTTGTATAATATTCACAAGGAATATAAAGAATTTATAACTGTTATTTTATTAAAATATGTGATTGTATTTCCTTTTTCTGTTAATATATATGCTATATTATTTGTAAGCCAAAAATGACATAACTGTAAATTTAATTGATTTATGATAAGTATTTAAAACAGTTATTGCAATACTCTTTTCATTATAATAAATTATATCTTCTATTATAATAATAGTTACTGATAGATAGATTTTTTTGTGATTCTAATATGCAGCATAAACAATCATAATTTTTTTCATCACAGATACTTTCATCTACCATTATTCTATATCTATAAAATTGCAAGTTTATATCTTTTGATTAATTTTTCTAAAGATTTATTTGTACAATTTTTTTTTTCCATTTTGTTAAAGTATTAGGAGAAATCCATTTGGTAGATATAAGTGTTTCTCTAATTAAAAATTCAAAAATAACTTTTGGTACTTTTAACAGTTGAATTAATAGAATTTTTACCTTTATTACTAATTTCAGCTATCAGTTTAATAAACTATAAAGTATATTCTTTTTTATTTATTTTAAAAATTCATTTTACTGTTTTTTAAAAGTTGCTAGATGTAACTTTTTTGACATTTTAATAGTAGTCTGAATTTTTAAAGTTTGTTTGATTTTAGTATTTTTAGCTTTAGCTATTTTTAGAGTTAAGGAACAAATTTGTTTATTTAATTTAAGAATGGCTTTTTTGAGTTATTTATTTTTTTTTTTTAAAGATTTTTTTTATTTTAAATAATAATTGCTGATGATTCTTATTTATAAAATCCAGTTTTAATAAATTTATATACTTTTTTCTGAAGATAAAGTAAAAGAATTTGTCTAATATAAATTTCTTTTAAATATACTATTATTTTAAGAAGATGATGAATATTTAAAATTTCTTCATTTAATAAAGCATATATTTGTTGAATTAATTTTTTTTTTTATTGATTTTCAATTATTTCAGCTTTAACATTATTGATAATATTTATTTGCTTAAAAAGTTCATTAAACTCTATAATATTTAAATGATTATAAACATTAAAATAGTGTTAATAGATAGTGATATTTTATTTAAGTAATTTGTAAGGGATTTTTGTTAAAAATTTTTCTTGTATTATATGCTTTTTTAAGTGACGAAATTGTACTTTTTTGAAAGGCATAATAATAAAAAACTTTGTTAGTACTTTTAAGTATGAGTGTAAAACTTTAAAAATAATTTTTTTTTTACATATTTTAATGATGTATTTAATGAAATAAAACTGTTTTTTTTAAAATAAAGTAAAAAAAAAGTTTACATTATTACAAAATCTTAATAATGTTTTTTACAAATAATTTTTATGTTTTTTAAAAATTTGCATTTATTAGTTTGTATATACATGATTTTTATAACATAATAAATCGCTAAAAATGAAAGTAAAATATGCATATTAAGTTATAAACATTTATATAATACTAGTAATTTACTATATAGATTAAATTATTAATGAAAATTTAAAATAATTATCAACATTATAGGTAATGCATTATATTTGTAATTTAATTAGTATTGTATACTTTAAGGTCTTATCAAAATCAAAATCAAAGATTAAGTCTTAAAGTCCTGAACCTAAACTTTTTTATTTCCTATCTTTAATATAAGTGCATATAATAATTATATTTTATAGATAATTTAATATTTATATTTACTCATATAAATTTTTAAAAGAATAATTTTAAAAAATCAAATTTTAATTTTACTAAAATTGTATATTTTATATCATATTATTAATTTATTTTAAATATCAATTCTTTTGATTTTTTTTTTCTAAAAGATATTTTTTAAAATTTATAAAATTTAAACTTAAACTATATTTATTTAATATTATATTAAATTTAAAGTAATATTTATATATTTATAATATCAGTATTTAAAATATTAGTTTTAAAAACAATATTTTATATTTAAAAATTTTGTGATTTAGAAATTTTTAAAAAAATGTTTAATTTAGAATAATAAAATAAAAAGTGTAAATTATAACTTTATAGAATCTTAAAAATTAATGATAAAATTCTAACTACTTACTACAGTTAACACTCTTTATAACGAACTGACGGTTCCGTTAGAAAAAAAAAAAATTCGTTATATAATTTACTATGTTTTCTATATGAACCATAACACTTTTATAACGAACAATTATTAAAATTTAAAAATTGTGAGTTCGTTATATCCAGTGTTCGTTATAAAGAGGTTCGCTATAACTAGTTTGAAACGTATGTTAAAATTAAACGTTAAATGAAATTTAGATTTTAAAATTTATATATTAGGGATTAAATTTAGAAGTTAGAGTTCAATTAGTAAATAGTAGAGGTTTAAAATTAAGTATCTATATAAAAAGAGTTAGAGTTATGGTTAGAAACTTTGTTAGTACTAGGATTATATTAGAATAGGTTATTTATTGAATATATATGCCTTTTTATTTTATTTTATTTTAAATATAAAAATGCCAATTTCATTTGCTGTTGTGACAAATACTTTTAAATTTATTTTACATCCCCAATACAAACTTTTCGGCTTTAGCATTACTCATTTGTTGGGAAAATAGTTTTATGAAATTATTATTTTATATTATAATAACATTAATCACACTTTAGTTTAATCGATTTCCTTCACTAAATTGAACAACAGCATATTTTCCAGAAAACATCCAATCTTCTTCAGAAGCAGATAATCTTTCTTCAATCCCTTCAGGAAGTCCAACAATAACATCAGCTTTACTAGTACGAAGTGCCAAAATAGGTGGAGCACCTTTCTCAGTAGCCAAAGGTCCAATTGCATCTTTGAATAAAGTTGTAGTTGGCCATTTACAATCATAAACTAATTTACGGTAATTTAAATCACCTTTAAAAATTACTAAAGAAGATTTAGAAATATCTGAAAATAATTCAGGTGCCTGTTCTTTAAGGTGCCAATACGCATAAGGTGATGTCCAAAAATAATCTGATTTTAGAATCCATTTACCATTATCAACATATCCTTGCCACCTTTTTGCTAACCTTTCGAGATATAATTTTTCGTTGGAAGAAGCAGATGAAAAGAAATCATTTTTCAATACACCAAGTAACCAATTAAAATCACTCGGTGTTGTATCAGAGACAAACCATGGAATTGCTTTGACATGCAAATGAACTTCTGAAGCATAACCATTTTGAATTAACCAATCAGCAAATATCAAATCACCATACAATTCAAACCCTGTATATTATATAAGAGAGAAATTAAGTATTCTTTTTAATAAAAGATCCAATAAAATAAGATTAACTCATACCAGCATTATCAAGAACAAAATCTATTCTCTTCTGTTGGTAATGAGAGAGTTTACCCCATACTTCCTCCAAATCATTTACTAAAATGTTTTTTTCTGATTCTTCCAATGATTTAGCATTTCCTTGCAATTTCTTTATATCGTCATGACTTAAATTTGTTAACAAAGACAAATCAGTAGCATTTCCCCATAAACTTATTTGAGCCAATTCATGAAACAAAATTCTTTTATCACTACCTTGTACTGATGGATTAGAAATTAATCCATCTATACGTTTTGCAAGTTCAATTATGGCTACAAAAGATGCCTTAAATGTATCTTCTTTTTGTCGAAAAAATGGATCATAATTACGCCAAAGTTTAGTTCTTACAAAGATTGAATGAGTTCTACGATATAAATAACATTCAGTGAAAAGCCATGGAGCTGAATGCCAATTTTCTTCTTTGAAATATTTATTAAAAACTTCAATCCAAGTATTAACATCTGGCTCACCGTCGTCATCAATCGGTCTAGTTTGTCAGATGAAAAAAAAATTAATTTTATAATAAAGGAATAAATTACCTGTTTTACATACTTTAATGGTTTTTTCCGTTGTATTTCGTATTTCAACAAAGCAATTGAATCCATGATATCTATCCCTTCTTTCATTTTTTCAAATTCTATAGAAGGATCAAGCTCATGACGAGTTTTGTAAACATCGTCAATAATTTTTGTAATGATAACTGGCCACCTAACAGTTGTGGTCGTGAATGCGAAACTTTTCTCGTCTGTAGCTCTAAGAGCTGAGCGGGGAGGGTTCGCTGGTGTAACTATTGAGGTTTGTGAGGTCATTTTAATGTCTTGATTTGACAAAATTTTTATTATCGGGCTGTACTTTATTTATTGGAGTTGAGAGAAACCAAAAATCATTCTGACGTAATATTTGTTGATCGCGTTTTTTCATCTTTATTTTCATCTTTCATTTAGTAGATCAAAAAAAACATTTCTTCATTTGGTATATAATTATGTTGATAATGATAAAATTTCCCGTGATGATCTGCGAAATGACATCTCGTTTTCGCCTTATTAGACAAAAAAGAAAAAAAGAACCTATTTTTGTGGTAACACACATTCACCAAATTAAAATAATTTCGGGATTATTACTATCCCTTTTAAATAAATACCGGTATTTGTATTTGTATTTATAAAATAGATTACATTAAATAGAATTTTTAAATGTTAGAATCCTTTTTTTTTTTTTTCACATTTCGTTATCGTTAAAATATAAGCCACACACTGTTCTTTTCATTCATGAATAGAATTAATTATTGGGCTCAAAGAAGGAAGACAATGCATTGTATATAACAACTTATATAATTACCAACATTAAATAAAAAACCAAAGTATACATACATAATATGACAATTTTCTTTATGGAACTTAATAAGTCCTTTTGGTTACGCTTTACAAAACGATATATTCCCCCAGATTTATATTATCATTCGTGGACAATTTATGATTTTCAATATGTATTCTTATTAATTTTAGGAATATTTCTTTTTAATATAATTGAATTTCCGGTATTTTTCTTGAAATTCTTGATAGTTTGTATATTTGCAATTGGACTTTATCTTCCAGTACCTCGAAAATTTTTTCTACCCTTCCTTCCTATAGCGAGTTGGTTAGTATTATTTTATTCGTGTAGATTTATTCCAGGATCAAATAGACCTCACATTTATGTATCAGTTTTACCAGCATTGGAAAACATATTATATGGAGATAACTTGTCAGCAATCATAGCTAAGCATACTAATGTGGTTAAGGATGTATTAGCATGGTTACCTTATGGTGTGACACATTTTACGTTACCATTCTTAACGAGCGTAGGGTTGTGGTGGTACGGTCCACCCGGTATTTTGGCAATTTTTTCTAGATCATTTGGATATATGAATCTTGTCGGTGTTCTAACGCAGTTAGTATTCCCATGTTCTCCACCATGGTATGAATACACGTATGGGATGAATACCCCAGCAGAATATACGATGCCAGGAAATCCGGGTGGATTAGCTCGTATAGATGAATTATTTGGATCAAATACTTATACGAATACATTTAATGGGTCTCCAATGGTATTTGGTGCATTTCCATCACTTCATTCCGGATGTGCAATAATTCAAGCATTATTCATTTCATATATTATTCCAAAATCTAGATTATTTTGCTTCGCTTATGTTATGTGGATATGGTGGGCTTGTATGTATTTTACTCATCATTATATGGTTGATTTGGTCGGTGGTGGAATTTACGCCGTTGTTGCATTTTGGTTCGCATGGGATTATTTACCTTTCGTAAACGAACATTATAAAAATCGTTGGGATTATATCAAAGAAAAGAATGGTTTTTTATTACCAACGAATAATTATATTAATAATAATCTATCGTTTAATTCGCCTAAATTTGATAATAACGATGAATTAGAAATAGAAATTGCGACTGCTATTAGTGTAGGAACTGCAACTAGTGCAAGTTCTTCTAAAAGTAATACATCAATGGACATTATAGGTCAACCTTTTCATGAAGTTAAACTTCATTCTTCAAATAATTTATAATAAAATAATAATAATACATGTAATTCTATATATATAAATAAATATATATATATTATTAAAAATTATTACATTAAGAGGAAAATGTCATCCCAAGTTGTTCACAACAGCTTTCGCAATATCTTGAATTTCTATCTGTTCCTGATTGCGTGCATCCAGAACAATAAATACCCCCGCATGTTTTACAATGTATTTTCCTTTCTAATACTGCAAATTTTGTTCCACATTTGAGACAATTATCCGTTTGATTATCTGGCATCCAATGTGTTTCTAGTTTAACATCTGGTAAAACCCATGCATAAACTTTCCCTGATGAATCTCCACTATAGAGAATGCGCTGCGTTCCAGAGACTAACAATGCCACTATATCTAATGTTAATCCCGATCTACTTTCATGCTTTAATTGATGTTTTAATGAAAGATCCCATTTAACCACTAATTAATAATAATAATTTGTTATTAATAGATGTTCCAAAACTAGTAAAATAAAAAACGAATAATTTATCAATTTCAAATACCATTCTTTTCATCATTATTCGAAACAGGTTTGGGTTCCAAAGTTTTATTCCATATCTTTACTATTCCCTTCTTATGTCCTGTTACGATCAAATCTTCGTAAAACCATTCATTTTGTTTTCCCTAAACAATTATAAAAAAAAAAATTAGTATTTGTGATAAACCTGAAAAGATATTTACATAGAACGAAAAAAATTTACTTCATAAAAAGTACAACAAAGGATAGGATCTGAAGGTTGTGAGGTGTTTTTAACTAATAAAAGATCCCCATTAACTGTCCATATCCTAATAACTGATCCACTGCATGTGGCAATATCTCCCGTAGTATCATTGACTGCGACAAACTATCAAAAAAAAATTGAAAACATTATATTTAGCAAAGTAAAATATTTACATTTAAATTTCTTTATAAAATGCTTACTTGAACTCCGGCTTCATGATTCTGTAACTGTCTTACGTATTTCATCCTATTCAAATCCCAAATTATACAAGTTTGATCCTATGAAAAGAATAATAATTATAATTGTTAAAACCGTATTTATGAATAAATACAAGTACTTACATCTGATCCACTAATAATGATGCTATAAGATCTCGAAGTTGTAACACAATTAATCTTTGCCGAATGACCTCGCAAACATTCCATAAACCGAAATTCAGGAGATTTTGTCTTCCATTTTAATCTCCAGATGCAAATAACCTAATAAAATAAAATAAACGTGTAAATTTCAAAAAATGTTATTCTCAAAGAATATATTTTATCACTAAATATCACTTACTGCATCTGTGCCTCCAGTAATAAACGTTCTCCCATCTGCAAAACATGCACAGCTTACAGCTTCCAAGTGAAGATTCTCATATAGTCCAACCAGCTATAGAACAGTGAAATAAAAAATTTTAAGATACTAGTAACCTATATATATATATATGTATGCTTTTTAAAAACAAACCTTTCTTGTATCGGATTGATGAAGTCGAAGACTATTATCAGCGTAACCCCACTCAACATAATGTGTATAATTAGGAGGAACCAAGATTTTTTGTGTGCTAACCGCTACTAAGCGATCATTATTTGTTAAACGAATATCATGCACTTGTAATAGAATGTCTAAACGTAATTAAAATATTAATAATTTATTATATAAAATATACACACCAAATATACACTACTTAAGAATTACCTATCAATGGATGTATTGACTGAATTAATTTGTCCACATTTTCATGGAATTTATATAACCCTATACCATTAACAGGATCATATGATTCGGGCAATCTTGCAGGATGATGTCTAGTGAACAATTGACGTGGTGTTTGCCCAAAATTATGAATTATTCCGGTTGATGCAGAACGTTCAACAGGATCGGTAATGGCATCCAAATCTTTTAAACAGGATTAAATTTAGCATATACGCACATATAAAATACCAAAAAGAAAAAGAGGGTAATCTACCTATTGCTCCCTCGTAAGAAAGATGATGGAAAACGTTTATAGCTTCAACTGCCGCTGGTCCTTGTTGCTTATAACCAAAAACCAAATCTATCCACTCATGAAGGTGCGCACTTACATATTCACTTTCAAGAGCCTAAAAAATTACGTGCAATGATAATATAAATAATTGATACTTGAAGCTAACGGACATTTTTATATACGGACCTGTCGATGCTTATGAATAAATATTTTGGAATCTCCATGAGCCCACGGAGGAAGAATGATTGAATCAATAACTTCTCCAGTTCCTTGTTTGACACCTTTATAACAAACCAAATTAAAATTCTGCAACAAAATACGAAATATAACAATAGATAGACATAATACCAAAATTGAATTTGTTAGTATTTTCTAAGAATTCGGGTAAATAAAAGAATTCGGGAATTAATTCTCGGACGTCACTCATATTATCGCGTGTAGCAGATGACCACGCTTTTTGAATAGAGTAGAATAATCGATCAGCGTGATCAAAATGTCCACCCTAATATCAATAAATTTTGAAAGGATAGTCGTGTTAACCAATTTTTTTTTTTTTAAAAAAAATAATTATTAAAATGAAAATTTACTTGAAGTTTTAAATATTGCTGGACAAATGGTTCAAGTCGAATTAGATATGAACAAACAATCATTGCAGATGAGTAATGCGTTCCATAATGAAACGCCGGTGTTGTTGCATTTGCAGTTGGATCAAAAGAACGATATCGAATTTGGAATTCCTCTACAAATTGAGTGAAATAAAGTTGTATCACAAATTAATCATATAACAATAGTTTTTTATTAAGATAATTATTTACTTTTTCGTTCTTCTGTTTGAGCTCCCATAGGTTTTGATAAATCGCGAAAAGTAGCTGGATTCGTTAAATCCAGCTAAAAAAAAAAAATCAAATACGATATTAACTAAATTTCTTTCTAAAAAGAAAAAAAAAAATGAAAATTTCATCACACTTACTTCTTCACTAGTATAGTCGGCTAAAATCCATGGAAAGACGGGATATTGCGTAAGGTCTAAAAAAAATTAATGTAAGCGATGAGGATAACGGTAATTTTAAATAAAGATCAGTCGTAAACATACCATTATACGATCGCCCAGCCAGTGTGTTTAAATGCATTAAATACTGAAAGTTTGATATTTCCCTCTTTTCCCATCGTGAAGTTAATTCGGATAGCGAGGAATTTGCAAAAAAATTAAAATTTGCCAATTTGAATGACAAGCCACTTGAAGAGCCAATAGTTAAAGGAGTGACAGGTGACATCACATCTAAGGTTGAAGTTCCAATAACTGATTCAGAACCACTTATTGAAAATGTAGCTCGAGCAACAAGTTTATTATATGCTACATCTCTCTCATTCAAAAAGAAAGTTATCAGATAATTTCGACCATCAGCGAAAAATATTTCAAGTGCCACGTCCCTATATATTAAAGTTTGTGAAATAAAAAAATAATCTTAGTGTATGATTATGATTTATACAATTTAAAAAATATATGATTATGCGAATGAAACATTACCTAAATAAGAATTTTCGTTTATGAACTTCTTTAATATCATCAAAAGCCCTTCAATTTTATTACGAACGAACAAGCAATTTTCCAGTCAATAATTAAGCAAATTAAGTAAAAAGAAAAACTCATTTTTTTAGGTAGATACCATCGTCGACTCTTGTGTTTCTTCTCTTTCACACTAGCATTGCTATCATATCCGGCGTGTGCTGCTAACATTTGTAGATATTGATCCCGTTCCTTTTTCAAATTTTAAGTTAGATTGTAGTTAATATATCCGAGATAAACAATATTGTTATTAAAAAAAAAAAAAATTAAAATTAAAAAAAACCTTTATTGGTGCATCCCAAATATCAACAATTTCACCATCTAAACGTTGGAAATAATTATCTATTAAATACAAATTTTGTTTACATAAAAGTAAAAGACTTTCTAAAAAATTTTGAAAGAAAAATGTTAGAAAAAGCTCGTCATATTCTTAATTGATCCGTTTCAATAATTACCACAAGCATCCAATCCAGTGATACGACTTATATTAAAAATATCTAAGACAGAGTCTCCATGTTCTAAAGATCTTAATACTTTGCGGTTTTTGTCCTCTTCATATGCGGTTTCTTCATCAACTTCTGCTTGTGATTCGGTGTATTGACCTATAGAGAATAAATAAGTCAGATAAACATAATTATATCAATTTTTACTTACTTTGTACAAGAATGCTTACTATTTCCAACAGAATCCACGTCATCAGCAGGAATTGATTCAAAATCACTGGTACTTGGTGTAAGTGTCATAGTACGATCTGGGGATTTTCCTTAAATTAAAAAGCATAATAAATTTTAACATAAATTTTTTAAAAAGAAGAATAAAATTTTTATGATAACGATACCTCTTTTATTAAGACCAGGTACCTCCAAAGCTTTTATTTATAAAATATAAAACTTATTTAGCTTATTATGCCATAATTTTCACAGTTTCGTTTATATACTTACATGAGGATGATTTAGTAGGGCAATTCGTTACAGGAGATGAAGATCCGTTCTCATTTGTATTCTAAAAAATAAATACAATCAAGATTTCACAATATTCGTAGCAATACAAAATAACTAACATACCTCTTTCGCTACATTCTCATATTTACTACTCTTCGGTTTATATGTATGCAATCGCAAGGTTTCGTTTCTTTCTAACTTTTTACGCATACGGCATCGACCTTAAATTGTTGTGTAAATGTATAAGTCAATAATAATACTTTATAAAAAAAAACTTAATCCTTTTTTTTTTACCTTCTGTGAAATCCAATCTCCATTTGGCCTCTGTGTCAACAGCTTTTGAACCCCAAAGAGCACGCTCACGGAATAAATCTGCAGATGTTTTTGTCCATTCATCCCTAACATAATTGCAGAGATCGATATTATCTTGAATGGATTTATA